CCAACTAAAAAGGTGGGATTGAACTACAAGGAAATTGATTTGATTTTGTTAAAACACAAAAACTTTTAATAACAAATCAACTATTTAGATTTTAATCTACAAAATATGATGAGAAATATAATGAAAAAAATGATATTTGCCTTTTACGATTGTATAAACAACAACATAAATATTCGATGCAGATGTGTTGCAAGGATGTTTTGTTTGCAGTTTTTTAGAAATGGATGTTGCAGATTAGTTGGCTTCTTTAGAAAGTTATATTTTTGTTTAGCAAAATTCTCTGGTTTTTGTAACTTTAGTCGTTTTATTTATTAATTAATAATTGGTAATTAATTAAATTGGCAGTAGATTTTGTTTGTGTAAATTTGGTTTATAATGTGGTAGTGTCTTTAAATCCTTTTCTTTATACATATAGATAGAAATATAAAACGATATTTGGCGTCAACAACAAATTGTGGTTAGTATTAATTAAAATGTATGAAGTGTTGTAGTGTTTTAAAACGTTAATGTTAGAATAAAATTATTAAATATAAATGAAAATATAATATTAACATAATAATGTCTTATAAGAATTGTTTAAAACATATTTTTATTATTAAATAATAAAAAATATATAATTTTTTAAATTATATTTAAGGAAACTTGAGAATATAGTGTTTATAAACCGGTTAACCGGTTAACCGAAGAACCGGTTTTTATTGCATATTTCGGTTTTTCGCAAACCGGTTTTTTTAAAACATTGGTTTTCGGTTAACCGGGTTATCCGGTTTTTAAGTCTCGGTTAACCGATTTCAAAAAAATCTAATTTTTAGTACAAAATTGTATGTTTTCTTTGATTTTTTATTGTGATTTTTAAAAATTTTGGATGGTTGAGATTGTTAAACAAATGTTAGGAAATGTTAAACATATATTTTTGTATTTAAACAAATTCCAACCATTATATGAAGAAATTTGTTACTTATTAAGACGAATAAATAACGTTGATTACAAAATGCACTTCCTTGTTTACTGCGTGAGTATAAAAAAAATCGAGAAGTTTGTCAAACGTTCTCAAAACGGATTTTATTTATCGAAACATAAGGGTAATTGTCGCTGTCCGAGAATTTATGCTGCTGGGGTTTTTCACAAACTGTAATGGCGCTTAGGTTGATTATCAAGAAGTAAGTAATGACACCTGTCAATATTCCTAAGTGTCATTCACAGTAATTTGAACAACCACAGGCGTAGCGAGCGGAGGGTGGTCACAATTAAAGCAGTGGCTCAATGTCTATGTCGAGACAGTCGTCGTCTACTTCCGTTCCCGATGAATCGTCGCGAGCCTGAACACTATTTATACTAGTGTTGGACATAAAATTTTTTATTGATATAGATGCATTATATATTCAAAGGTCAATTTATTCCTCCTATGGCAACTTCCATATACCTGACGAATCAATAATAACTTCAGATCTGTATAAGTTTGCTTTCTTATGATATATTAATGTACATATTTATACTAAAAAAACTGCAAATATCTTATTAAGTAATTCATAATATTTCGCAAAATGAAATTTTTCAACTAAATATTATAATATTTTAAAGATTTCCAAACATTTTGGTTAACCGGTTTAACCGGTTTTTTTGTACTCGGTTAACCGACAAACCGGTTTTTTAGAAATGGTCAATTTTCGGTTAACCGAAAAACCGGTTTTTCTAAAAGTCGGTTTTTTATAAACACTATGAGAATATAACAAATTTATAAAAGAAAATTTCTTTGACAAATCAAAGAATATTTTAAATTAGTTGAAAATTTATTTGCTTGATATTTTAGCAAAATTTCTTCTTTTTTTTTTTTGCTTTAAAATATAAAAGGCCTTTAATATTTTTCTTTATTATATTAAGTATTTTTAATTATAGGTACTGGTTGTTTATTTCTTTTTAAAGGCAACTTAAAGTAAAACAAACCAAAAAGCAAAAAAATATTTAATAGAATGTGTTTTTGTATATTTATAATAAATTCAAAGCATTATTATTTTCTTTTAATTAACTTTTAACAATGAGCAAAATATGTTTATGTTTTCTTTTAATTTTACTACATTTAAGTAACATTTTTTGTTTAGCAATATTTACTTTAGTTTTTGTATTTATATTTATAAATTATAACTACATAAAAAGTAGCATTTTTAAAAATATTATTTTACGATATTAATGAGGATTGAAAAAATGGAATTTTTAATAATATATTTAGTTAAATAAGAGAGTCTAAAAAAGAACTAGAACAAAACTAGGACATAACTAGAACAAAACTAGAACAGAACTAGAACAGAACTAGAACAGAACTCGAACAGAACTAGAACAGAACTAGAACAGAACTAGAACAGAACTAGAACAAAACTAGAACAGAACTAGAAACTAGAAAGAACTAGAACAGAACTAGAACAGAACTAGAACAGAACTAGAACAGAACTAGAACAGAACTAGAACAGAACTAGAACAGAACTAGAACAGAACTAGAACAGAACTAGAACAGAACTAGAACAGAACTAGAACAGACTAGAACAGAACTAGAACAGAACTAGAACAGAACTAGAACAGAACTAGAACAGAACTAGAACAGAACTAGAACAGAACTAGAACAGAACTAGAACAGAACTAGAACAGAACTAGAAACAGAACTAGAACAGAACTAGAACAGAACTAGAACAGAACTAGAACAGAACTAGAACAGAACTAGAACAGAACTAGAACAGAACTAGAACAGAACTAGAACAGAACTAGAACAGAACTAGAACAGAACTAGAACAGAACTAGAACAGAACTAGAACAGAACTAGAACAGAACTAGAACAGAACTAGAACAGAACTAGAACAGAACTAGAACAGAACTAGAACAGAACTAGAACAGAACTAGAACAGAACTAGAACAGAACTAGAACAGAACTAGAACAGAACTAGAACAGAACTAGAACAGAACTAGAACAGAACTAGAACAGAACTAGAACAGAACTAGAACAGAACTAGAACAGAACTAGAACAGAACTAGAACAGAACTAGAACTAGAACTAAGAACTAGAACAGAACTAGAACTGAACTAGAATTGAACTAGAACTGAACAAGAACTGAACTAGAAATGAACTAGAACTGAACTAGAATTGAACTAGAACTGAACTAGAACTGAACTAGAACTGAACTAGAACTGAACTTGAACTGAACTTGAACTGAACTTGAACTGAACTAGAACTGAACTAGAACTGAACTAGAACTGAACAAGAACTGAACTAGAACAGAACTAGAACAGAACTAGAACAGAACTAGAAACAGAACTAGAACAGAACTAGAACTGAACTAGAACTGAACTAGAACTGAACTAGAACTAGAACTAGAACAAAACTAGAACAAAACTAGAACAGAACTAGAACAGAACTAGAACAGAACTAGAACAGAACTAGAACAAAACTAGAACAGAACTAGAACAGAACTAGAACAAAACTAGAACAGAACTAGAACAGAACTAGAACAGAACTAGAACAGAACTAGAACAGAACTAGAACAGAACTAGAACAGAACTAGAACAGAACTAGAACAGAACTAGAACAGAACTAGAACAGAACTAGAACAGAACTAGAACAGAACTAGAACAGAACTAGAACAGAACTAGAACAGAACTAGAACAGAACTAGAACAGAACTAGAACAGAACTAGAACAGAACTAGAACAGAACTAGAACAGAACTAGAACAGAACTAGAACAGAACTAGAACAGAACTAGAACAGAACTAGAACAGAACTAGAACAGAACTAGAACAGAACTAGAACAGAACTAGAACAGAACTAGAACAGAACTAGAACAGAACTAGAACAGAACTAGAACAGAACTAGAACAGAACTAGAACTGAACTAGAATTGAACTAGAACTGAACAAGAACTGAACTAGAAATGAACTAGAACTGAACTAGAATTGAACTAGAACTGAACTAGAACTGAACTAGAACTGAACTAGAACTGAACTTGAACTGAACTTGAACTGAACTTGAACTGAACTAGAACTGAACTAGAACTGAACTAGAACTGAACAAGAACTGAACTAGAACAGAACTAGAACAGAACTAGAACAGAACTAGAACAGAACTAGAACAGAACTAGAACTGAACTAGAACTGAACTAGAACTGAACTAGAACTAGAACTAGAACTAGAACAAAACTAGAACAGAACTAGAACTGAACTAGAACTGAACTAGAACTGAACTAGAACTGAACTAGAACTGAACTAGAACTGAACTAGAACTGAACTAGAACTGAACTAGAACTGAACTAGAACTGAACTAGAACTGAACTAGAACTGAACTAGAACTGAACTAGAACTGAACTAGAACTGAACTAGAACTGAACTAGAACTGAACTAGAACTGAACTGAACTAGAACTGAACTAAAACTGAACTAGAACTGAACTAGAACTGAACTAGAACTGAACTAGAACTGAACTAGAACTGAACTAGAACTGAACTAAAACTGAACTAGAACTAGAACTAAACTAGAACTGAACTAGAACTGAAGTAAAACTGAACTAGAACTGAAGTAAAACTGAACTAGAACTGAACTAGAACTGAACTAGAACTGAACTAGAACTGAACTAGAACTGAACTAGAACTGAACTAGAACTGAACTAGAACTGAACTAGAATTAAACTAGAACTGAACTAGAACTGACTAAAGTCTTGACTATGAAGTAAACTATAGTCTATAGCCAAGACTATCGACTTAACTACAGTCTCGATTAGAGTTTAGTTTATAGTCTTGAATATATTCAAGTCTATAGTCTGAACTATAGTTCATAGTTAAGACCATTGTCTAATATAGAGTCCGGACCATAATCTCGTCCATAGTCTAAACTATAATATTGATTGTAGTCTAGACAAATTTATCCATCTCTCTTATTTAACTATTTAACATTATTTCTTTTGCTGATATAATTAATTTTTAAGGTACCGCACTATTTGTTGTTTCTTTTGTTTAATTAAAATTTTACTTTACATAAATGGAAGCAAAAAAAGTTGATCTTTACATTTGTTTTGTGTTTCTTGAAAATTTTCGACGAAACTTCAGTTAATGGAATCCAAAAATATATATATTTTGTTTTTGCGCTATTTAAGCTTCTTTTGAGATCAATTTGTAACATTTTGCAGCAAAAAAATGTTTTCAAAATTCTGAATGATTAAGTGTGTGTTTGGTGGGGCTTTTATTTTGTTATAACGGCTTAATAATCAATATTTCTTTTTCGTATTTTGTTTAAAACTTTATGATATATATAATTGTTGTTTTAGTAAATTGTTTAACAAACTCTTTTTTTGTTTTTGTGATAATTTATGATGATGTTTTTTGTTGCTTTTCATTTTTAAATATATATAATAGTGTAGTTATTGTTTTTTGTTAGTAACGGTTTGTTTACTGTGAGATTCTTTTATTTTAATAAATTTTTAAATGGAATTGTTGTTGTTTTTTTATATATAAATATATATATGTGTGTGTCTTTTTGTTTGTTTGTTTTTATTTTTTAATTCATTTAATGAATTTATGTTGGACGCCAAACATCAGGATCTTCCATTAATGTAATATGCTGATCGGTGCTCATTTGCATTTGTCCTTCACCACCAGGCTGCATTTGTGTAGGTGATGTGGCAGCAGCAGCCATTTCCTCACGTGAAGCTCTTTTTTTATTATTTTTGTTTATTTTAAATAAAATTTTGTTTAAATTGTTTTTTTGTTCAACCAAATTGTAAAATTTCATTGAAAATTTTGTTCGTGTTTGTTTTTTTTTTGTTTAGTAATAATTTTGTAAGCAAGGTTTAGAGGAAAGAGATAGAAAAAATAGGAATAATAAACACAATTAATGAATAAATTTCCTCTGGCTTTATTTTTTAAGGTTTTTTTTCATAGCAGCTTTAAAACACTTATTTCTTAATCGTGTTAAGTTATTAAATTGTCTTATGGAATTAATTAAAACTTACTTTTTGCCTAATGACATCATGCCATAGATAACACCAGTACCAAAGATTAAAGCGCAGGGGAATAAACTGCCTAAACCAAAGCATAAAAATACTGGGAATATTGAGACTCTGTAGAAATAAGATATAATCGAAAAGTTATGAGAAAATGTTTTCTATAAAGTAAATATGATAATACTTACACACAATACAGTGCTGCTCTGTTCCACATGGGTCTAGCATCGGCCATATCAGCCATTTGTCCCACATAGTCTATGCAGAAGAAACAGCAGGGTGCTTCTAAGGACATAACTAGGAAACCTATGACTACTTGTAGTATGCCACCAATTAAACAACTGACATTTAGTAATAATAAGGATAAAGCATTGAAGAGGCCAAATAATATACAAACTGTAAAAAGAAGAAGACATATACAAATTAATTAAATGGAGTTACAACTATATAACAAAATATATGATCAGATTAGACTACCTCAGTGCATACTACAGACTTAAGACTAGAACAGAACTAGAACAGAACTAGAACAGAACTAGAACAGAACTAGAACAGAACTAGAACAGAACTTTAACAGAACTAGAACAGAACTAGAACAGAACTAGAACAGAACTAGAACAGAACTAAAACAGAACTAGAACAGAACTAGAACAGAACTAGAACAGAACTAGAACAGAACTAGAACAGAACTAGAACAGAACTAGAACAGAACTAGAACAGAACTAGAACAGAACTAGAACAGAACTAGAACAGAACTAGAACAGAACTAGAACAGAACTAGAACAGAACTAGAACAGAACTAGAACAGAACTAGAACAGAACTAGAACAGAACTAGAACAGAACTAGAACAGAACTAGAACAGAACTAGAACAGAACTAGAACAGAACTAGAACAGAACTAGAACAGAACTAGAACAGAACTAGAACAGAACTAGAACAGAACTAGAAACAGAACTAGAACAGAACTAGAACAGAACTAGAACAGAACTAGAACAGACAGAACTAGAACAGAACTAGAACAGAACTAGAACAGAACTAGAACAGAACTAGAACAGAACTAACAGAACTAGAACAGAACTAGAACAGAACTAGAACAGAATAGAACAGAACTAGAACAGAACTAGAACAGTATTAGAGCAGAACTAGAGCAGAACAGAACAGAAATAGAACAGAAATAGAACAGAACTAGAACAGAACTAGAACAGAACTAGAACAGAACTAGAACAGAACTAGAACAGAACTAGAACAGAACTAGAACAGAACTAGAACAGAACTAGAACAGAACTAGAACAGAACTAGAACAGAACTAGAACAGAACTAGAACAGAACTAGAACAGAACTAGAACAGAACAGAACTAGAACAGAATTAGAACAGAACTAGAACAGAACTAGAACAGAACTAGAACAGAACTAGAACAGAACTAGAACAGAACTAGAACAGAACTAGAACAGAACTAGAACAGAACTAGAACAGAACTAGAACAGAACTAGAACAGAACAGTCTAGTCTATAGTCTAGTCTATAGTCTAGTCTATAGTCTAGTCTATAGTCTAGTCTATAGTCTAGTCTATAGTCTAGTCTATAGTCTAGTCTATAGTCTAGTCTATAGTCTAGTCTATAGTCTAGTCTATAGTCTAGTCTATAGTCTAGTCTATAGTCTAGTCTATAGTCTAGTCTCTAGTCTAGTCCATAGTCTAGTCTATAGTCCAGTCTATAGTGCAGTCTATAGTCTAGTCTATAGTCTAGTCTATAGTCGTCTATAGTCTAGTCTATAGTCTAGTCTATAGTCTAGTCTATAGTCTAGTCTATAGTCTAGTCTATAGTCTAGTCTATAGTCTAGTCTATAGTCTAGTCTATAGTCTAGTTTATAGTCTATAGTCTAGTCATAATCTAGTTTATAGTCTAGTCTATAGTCTAGTCTATAATCTAGTCTATAGTCTAGTCTATAGTCTAGTCTAGTTTATAGTCTAGTCTATAGTCTAGTCTATAGTCTAGTCTAGTCTATAGTCTAGTCTAGTCTATAGTCTAGTCTCTATAGTCTAGTCTATAGTCTATAGTCTATAGTCTATAGTCTAGTCTAGTCTATAGTCTAGTCTATAGTCTAGTCTATAGTCTAGTCTATAGTCTAGTCTAGTAGTCTAGTCTATAGTCTAGTCTATAGTCTAGTCTATAGTCTAGTCTATAGTCTAGTCTATAGTCTAGTTCTATAGTCTAGTCTCTTAGTCTAGTCTATAGTCTAGTCTATAGTTCTAGTCTATAGTCTAGTCTATAGTCTCTAAGTCTATTTAGTCTAGTCTATAGTCTAGTCTATAGTCTAAGTCTATAGTCTAGTCTATAGTCTAGTCTATAGTCTAGTCTATAGTCTAGTCTATAGTCTAGTCTATAGTCTAGTCTATAGTCTAGTATAGTCTAGTCTATAGTCTAGTCTATAGTCTAGTCTATAGTCTATCTATAGTCTAGTCTATAGTCTAGTCTATAGTCTAGTCTATAGTCTAGTCTATAGTCTAGTCTATAGTCTAGTCTATAGTCTAGTCTATAGTCTAGTCTATAGTCTAGTCTATAGTTAGTCTATAGTCTATAGTCTAGTCTATAGTCTAGTCTATAGTCTAGTCTATAGTCTAGTCTATAGTCTAGTCTATAGTCTAGTCTATAGTCTAGTCTATAGTCTAGTCTATAGTCTAGTCTATAGTCTAGTCTATAGTCTAGTCTATAGTCTAGTCTATAGTCTAGTCTATAGTCTAGTCTATAGTCTAGTCTATAGTCTAGTCTATAGTCTAGTCTATGGTCTAGTCTATAGTCTAGTCTATAGTCTAGTCTATAGTCTAGTCTATGTCTAGTCTATAGTCTAGTCTAGTCTCTATAGTCTATAGTCTAGTCTAGTCTATAGTCTAGTCTATAGTCTAGTCTATAGTCTAGTCTATAGTCTAGTCTATAGTCTAGTCTAGTCTAGTCTATAGTCTAGTCTATAGTCTAGTCTATAGTCTAGTCTATAGTCTAGTCTATAGTCTAGTCTATAGTCTAGTCTATAGTCTAGTCTATAGTCTAGTCTATAGTCTAGTCTATAGTCTAGTCTAGTCTAGTCTATAGTCTAGTCTAGTCTATAGTCTAGTCTATAGTCTATAGTCTAGTTTATAGTCTAGTCTATAGTCTAGTCTATAGTCTAGTCTATAGTCTAGTCTATAGTCTAGTCTATAGTCTAGTCTATAGTCTAGTCTATAGTCTAGTCTCTAGTCTAGTCCATAGTCTAGTCTATAGTCCAGTCTATAGTGCAGTCTATAGTCTAGTCTATAGTCTAGTTTATAGTCTAGTCTATAGTCTAGTCTATAGTCTAGTCTATAGTCTATAGTCTAGTTTATAGTCTAGTCTATAGTCTAGTCTATAGTCTAGTCTATAGTCTAGTCTATAGTCTAGTCTATAGTCTAGTCTATAGTCTAGTCTATAGTCTAGTCTCTAGTCTAGTCCATAGTCTAGTCTATAGTCCAGTCTATAGTGCAGTCTATAGTCTAGTCTATAGTCTAGTCTATAGTCTAGTCTATAGTCTAGTCTATAGTCTAGTCTATAGTCTAGTCTATAGTCTAGTCTATAGTCTAGTCTATAGTCTAGTCTATAGTCTAGTCTATAGTCTAGTCTATAGTCTAGTTTATAGTCTAGTCTATAGTCTAGTCTATAATCTAGTTATAGTCTAGTCTATAGTCTAGTCTATAATCTAGTCTATAGTCTAGTCTATAGTCTAGTCTAGTTTATAGTCTAGTCTATAGTCTAGTCTATAGTCTAGTCTAGTCTATAGTCTAGTCTAGTCTATAGTCTAGTCTAGTCTATAGTCTAGTCTATAGTCTATAGTCTAGTCTATAGTCTAGTCTATAGTCTAGTCTATAGTCTAGTCTATAGTCTAGTCTATAGTCTAGTCTATAGTCTAGTCTATAGTCTAGTCTATAGTCTAGTCTATAGTCTAGTCTATAGTCTAGTCTATAGTCTAGTCTATAGTCTAGTCTATAGTCTAGTCTATAGTCTCTATAGTCTAGTCTATAGTCTAGTCTATAGTCTAGTCTATAGCCTATATATAGTCTAGTCTATAGTCTAGTCTATAGTCTAGTCTATAGTCTAGTCTATAGTCTAGTCTATAGTCTAGTCTATAGTCTAGTCTATAGTCTAGTCTATAGTCTAGTCTATAGTCTAGTCTATAGTCTAGTCTATAGTCTAGTCTATAGTCTAGTCTATAGTCTAGTCTATAGTCTAGTCTATAGTCTAGTCTATAGTCTAGTCTATAGTCTAGTCTATAGTCTAGTCTATAGTCTAGTCTATAGTCTAGTCTATAGTCTAGTCTATAGTCTAGTCTATAGTCTAGTCTATAGTCTAGTCTATAGTCTAGTCTATAGTCTAGTCTATAGTCTAGTCTATAGTCTAGTCTATAGTCTAGTCTATAGTCTAGTCTATAGTCTAGTCTATGGTCTAGTCTATAGTCTAGTCTATAGTCTAGTCTATAGTCTAGTCTATAGTCTAGTCTATAGTCTAGTCTAGTCTATAGTCTATAGTCTAGTCTAGTCTATAGTCTAGTCTATAGTCTAGTCTATAGTCTAGTCTATAGTCTAGTCTATAGTCTAGTCTATAGTCTAGTCTATAGTCTAGTCTATAGTCTAGTCTATAGTCTAGTCTATAGTCTAGTCTATAGTCTAGTCTATAGTCTAGTCTATAGTCTAGTCTATAGTCTAGTCTATAGTCTAGTCTATAGTCTAGTCTAGTCTAGTCTATAGTCTAGTCTAGTCTATAGTCTAGTCTATAGTCTATAGTCTAGTTTATAGTCTAGTCTATAGTCTAGTCTATAGTCTAGTCTATAGTCTAGTCTATAGTCTAGTCTATAGTCTAGTCTATAGTCTAGTCTATAGTCTAGCCTATAGTCTAGTCTATAGTCTAGCCTATATTCCGGATGATAGACAATGAACTGTCGCACTTTTGTATTAAAAAGTCTACAAATTGCTGACATTAACCATTTAATTAAATTTACTTAAATGTTAACATATTAATTAATTTTTATATTTAAATTAAAAGTGAAAATTTCTCTATTATCCTTATAAGAAACCTAACAAAATACCAAAATAATAACAAAACAAAAAACGCAATTTATCACATATTATTTACACACATTTACATTTGTTTAATAACAATATTTAAAAATGAGTCATAAAACAGCTGTTTATGTTTAATAAAGTAAGTATTTAATACTATAAATTAATAACAAAATGTCGAAATAAAATTAACAACAAAAACATCTACACGATTTTTTGCTCTCTTGCTTTTTTTAAACAATTTATTGTTTATACACATACACAAAAGTTAACTAAAACGAAACGTTTATACATTTATAATTTATGCAATTAATTTTTGTATAGTTTATCGAT